GGGGGGGGGGGGGTAAAAAAAGAAGTTTATTGTAGACATAAACTAATGAGAAAAAAACATGGCCGTGAATTTAATGTCACCTGTCTTAAGTAGAGGGTGTTTGCCTTAAACTTCGAAGAACTTTAAAATTAATAACCTTCTTTACTACAGTATCTTCCTCTAACGACTGAAACATAGAATCACTTTGCCTTTTTATAAAAAGTTTCTTAGATTATTCAGAAATAGTGGGAAAGTCTACTTTTGAGGAAGAAAAACCCAGCACGCTACGGTCCCTATTGTCTTCAATGCCAGCAATTTTTATTAAAGTCTTTACCCTTGGGATTATACATAATTTATGAACTATATTGCCCAGCTCTCCTGTTCAGGCAAAGTCCCAGGTGCTAAGGTGCTCGAATTTCGCAGGAATTGCCCCTGATGTCAACAGATTCTCATGTGGATCACCGAATTGGGAAGCTCACTGAGACACACGCCTTCTCTTTTTCTTTAGAGGAAGCCCTTGTTTACCCGCTATTTGTCATATTACCTTTAAAACTAAATCTGGCCTAAGCCTTTTATATTGTTCGTCCACAGAGGAGACGGGTGGTCTTCTTGGAGCATGTCCACTTTGAAACCTAAATGGGTGAAAAGTTATCAGTGGAGTTGTCACAGAAGAGAAAGGGGTAGTGGGTGGGATGGAATTGGCCGTTAATAATCACAGGACTAATCTTTCTGGGTATATCGTTTCGTGTTTAGGAAGTAGGAAGGGGGAACAGGATTCTTCCCGTCTCTCAGAAAAATGTTTCGGAAGGCTTTGGATTTAGTTTTGTTTCTGGACTGAGGGGTTTTGTCCTTTTACTTATTCTTGGTTTTTAAATGGTTCTTCTCTGAACTGTGCTCCCTTCTGGCTCCTTTTCTGGTTTAATGAGCGCTTCCTTTAGTGTACTTTCTCTCTCTCTCTCTTTTTTTTTTTTTTTTTCTTTTTCTTTTTAGATTTCTGATTATTATGAGTTCTTGTGCTTAGGCATGCTGTGTTAGGTGCTACGAACATTGATAAGAAAAATAACGTGGAATTAGCCTCAAGGTTAAGGATTAAAGTGCTGCATAACATTTTCTGTGTTAAGATTTTATTAAAGTGTTTTGGATTTCCATGCCCACTTTTCTTGCTATGTAGTGCCTAGCTCAAAGGTGTCAGGTGTTCTTCTCTGCACTACCCAGCCTGCCACTATTAGAAAACAGCCGTTTTCCTTCATGGTGGGCTTTCAGCTCGTAAGAAGTCTGTACGTGAAAAACGAGCTCGTTCCAAAAGACGGGGCTTATAAACCGAATAATCCAAGTACTAAACTCTCTTGACCTGCAGTGAGTATTTTGAAACAAACGTTAGCTAGCATGTTTCTAATACTGCGCTATGGCAGGCTTCTAAGAAACGAGCAGATGAACTCTACAAAACCAGAGTGAAGATTCACGAGAAAAATCTTTGGATCTGCCTAGTAAATCGGGTAGTCCTCCCTGTCTCGTCCTGACAGTTTGAAACCTCTTGGTTGTCCAGTGCCAACTGGATTATGGGGACGCTGGACCTAGACAACACAGCTTCCATAAATAAGGCCTTTACCCCACAGGGAAGCCCTCTGTTCCCTAGTTGTTTGCTATACCGTGTTGGCATCATCTTAGGATTGCGTGTCTTTAAGAAATAGGGATTTCTCGTACACTTTCGCTGTCAGCCTACATAACTACATGGTTTTTTCTTTGAGTATCAGGAAAAACAAACCTATTCTTAGTGTTTCGACCAAGTCATTTAATGCTGTTTGGACGTGGGGCTAAACCAGTCCTCACTGAATAGATTACTGTTGACTTTTGGATTCGTGCCTTTACCTAAGGGCTTTCTGTGTCAGGACAGAAATGGAAGAGAACTTTTGTCCTACTCCAATGAAAACAAAAAAGCCCAAGTCCAAACTGGTTTTCAGAACAGATGGATTTTTTTTTCCTAACGTGAATCCAAAAGTGCTATAAAAACTTCGAGGATAATTAATAGATCTGATAGGAAAGGATGAGGAAAATGTTAACCTTACCAAATCTCCTGGTCTCTGGAGCTAAAAAAAAATAAATAAAAATAAAAAAGGGTTTTACGCCCCAAAGTATATAATCCTCCCCTCTTGTTTTCTTCTCTTGTATATTAGCACACAGTATCCCTAATAGATATTTCAGATACTGTGACATTTTATAGAATTTAGTTCTTTTTTTTTTAAAAAAAAAAAACAAAAACATCACAATATCATTTTGGGTCCTTCGGTTTTATTTTATGGAGTAGTAATAGAGTCCTGCTACTAAATTGGTGGATGTATTGCTTCTTCACAGAACTGCACAGAACAAGATAGCTTGGGGTGTGGAATCTTAAGAGGTCCCGGACCGGCCTGGCCTCTTCAGAATCAGATTGTTGACTGAGAGTGTACTAGGCGCACGTAGAATTTCCATTCGGTGAGAGAGCAGCTAATAAATGGCACGGGTGTAAACTCTTGAACGTTTTTGACCGCCTAGTGCCAACACAGTCTCAGAACCGTAGCGTGTGAGAAACTAACAAGGGAGGAGGAAGGTGCCCCGGAGAGATGGTCTCCCCCAGCCTTTTCTCTAACGGAAGCTCTCCAGAGAAGATTCCGATCTCTTTTTTATGGCTTCTGAAAGAAGTAGAAGTAGGAGGGCTCACTTCTCCAGCTTGGATTTAAGACACTCGATGATATCGGAGATAAAGTTGAAACTGAATGTGTACCTTGTCCAGAGAGCTAGAGTGAGAGCGTTCTAGGCCATGTATATAACATGACTGTGGTGGGGTGTTTTGTTTTTTTTTTTTCTCTCCATTAATGGATGGTATCTGTGACTAATCACATTTTCTGCCTTATAGGCCCGCCTCGTCCCCTCAGCTTTCACACGATGATACTCATTCACGCATTGAACATTATGCTAGCAGGTATGACACTAGTTGAATGCTAGGCAAATATTGATTGAAATAACTAACCAAGGAAAGCTAACCGATAATAATTTGCAACAGATCTTTCCTTTTCCCCCCAATCTTGTCTGACTTCTACTAATCCACTTGCCCTCTAACTTGCATGCCGTTGCACTGCATGTTGTTCTCGGACACCCGTAAGAACGTTGGTCCGGAGCAATCTCCCCCTAACCCTGGCCTTTAAACCTTTCTGATAGCTTTGTTATGTTTTGCACACTGCGCACGTGTCATAAATTGGCTGAGAAATCATCTGACCTTAGAAAACCGCTAGACCAGACACGCCCAAGCGAAGCAGCAATACTGCGTTCCGTAGGGAATATGAAGGCGTTGGCTTTCCGTCTGTGTGTTTATTTCCCTGATCCGCTGTAAAGAAGAGAATAATTAATTTTCCTAATCCTCGCACCTTTATGTCCCACCTTGTTTGTGTTTCAGATCATTGTTATACCTAAAAACTCATTTGCTAACTGTAAGATATCTTTTGCTCGTTAAATAAGTCTGTAAGAGTTTGGTTAACTTTTTTTTATTTTTTAGTGGTAAAAAGTGTTTACGATTGTCTCAGGGGAAGGAGGTTTTTCTAAAGGTAAAACTTGGTGGCAGACTGTTAAGAGAGCTTACCTGTGAGTCCGTCCTTTTTCAATATTCTAACCGCTAACGTGTTTATCAACCGCGGGGAGCACGAACTAGCTCTATCAGTCTGTCATCAGGGGAAAGCTTTAATTGCTCTAAAAATACCAGGGGTAGAGAAGGAGTAGAGTGTATTTGTTGTTAGGGAAGCTTTTCTTGTAAAAACAAAGGCCTTTTCTCAGTGCCAGGAAGATCGATCTGTGAAGAAGAAAAACCTACCAGATACAACTTCCCTTATAATTTATGGCGTAAATGTAAAGCCGCTAACTAGCTGTGGTCCACCACTCACTGCCTCCAGAGGTTAGGGCAACACACACATCCTTTAATTTGAAGGATTCCTTTCTCTTCTCGACATGATTTATCCTTTAGTTTTCAGGAATGTTCGATTAGGTCTTGAATAGATTCTAAGAAATCACATAAGTTTTAATGAGCTTTTACGTTTTTTATCAGGCTAGCAGAAATGGAAAACAGCAATGGATCTTATCTAAATGATAGCATCTCTCCTAATGAGAGCATGTAAGTATCCTGTCTCTTTTTACGAAATGTTCCTGACGATGAAATTGCTTTGAGGGCTTTAGAGGTAGGGTAGCGCAGAAGATAGGAGTTAGCGTGATAGTCATTTGCTCTTTCAAGGAACCGCTCGCTTGCTTTTTTTCTTTGACTCTTAACAACCTGACAGGGAAGGAGCTCATCCAAGATGTGGCCTTATTGGCAATTCCAGAGGCGCAAAACCAGTTTGCCTTACTCTTATTTAATATCAGACCGTCACAGGCTGCCCAGGTGCAAATACTGAAATTGTATTAAATGCTTAACCTTTGACGAAACCTGCCGGATATTTAAAGGGATTGGATAGTAATTTTTAAAGTGACGGCTGAGCGGTATTTCCTCCACTCAGGGGGAGTGGACATCCACCCTTGGTACACTTGGATGGGTGTTCCCATCCGGCAGGTCAGTTGGGTCGTTTCCTTCAGAGATCCAAAGTGGTAGCATCTTCGCTAGCCAAATAAGGCGAGGCAGCCTTGCGAAGGGTTTCAGAAGGAGGAGCTCAGATTTAGGTCGAAGTTTTTTAGTGGGATGATAAGCCAGGCCTGTCAAGCAGAAGCACGCAGCTATGGCAGGGAAACTGAGGCTTCATTACCGAGTAAGGGAAGTGTTCACAATGAGGAACACACAGAAATAGTGCATGAATCAAGGGCCTGAGGTGGAGGGAGCTGACGAAGAAGCTAATCTGAAGGAAAAGATAAGGACCTGCGAACTGAAGGGATACTTGAGAGAGAGAGAGAGAGAGAGAGAGAGAGAGAGAGAAAATCTAGTCAAAGCACAGTGATGCCTTTGGTAAGTTACAGATGTCTCGCCACTTTGTCATGGGGAATCTAGACAAAGGGAAGAATGAGGGGTCAGTCTACTCTGTCGGTGTGGCACCTCCCGGTCACACTCAGATGAGGCAAGGGCCTTTACGAGGCTTAGGCTGAGGGAAATAGTACCCGAGTGGCATTTATACGTAATTGGTTATTGAAGACATGAGAACAAGTCATCTGGTAGATAAAGGTGATCACTTTCAAAGGTGAGTGGTGAATCAAGTGGACAGTCAGTCATCTGTTTATGACTGAATTACTTAAAACAAAACCCATCTTTTCCCCATTCGTAACTGTGGTATATTCTCTTTCTCATCCATGGGGATAAGTATCAGTAGGATTACGATATGAGATCCACTGACAGGAAAACAGGTGGCCAAAGAATCAACCAGACGTAAACGGCCTGGATGGTTTGCTTCTTTGGGTCGCCGATTTTGATATGAAATTAATTCAAGTTGTAGCCGCATCATAATGGCCGCCATTCAGTGGCTGCCTGAGAGAACAGTAAGAGAAACTTAATCGTAGCTCTGTTGTAATTAAACACGGGACATTCTAGCAATAAAATTCCAGAATTTGGGAAAAGGGATGGTAAGTTGGGTAGTAAAACATCCTTTTACAATTTTTAAATGAAATGTAGCTTTAGCTCCTTCTGAGGACATAAAATCCATTTTGACTCAGTGTTAGGTGATAAAATCCTGATGTTTTGGGGGCAGGTCTGGGGAGGTGGTTTGGTGCATTGGTTGACTTCACGTAAATGTTTGTTTTTAACACCCAGTAATTATTTGTAGTCCACTTTTCACTTCTCAGCCAATTACCTGGCTTGACAGACCAAAATCATTTCGGGCAGGAGGATTTTTGCCTAAATACCTGAACCGGTTTTCAACTCAGAAGACTTAGGGGGATATTAACATATCATCCTGCTATCTAACCAGAAACAAAGGGCTTTAGCCTCTCGTTGAGAATAGAACCGAGGTTCTTACAACTTAGAGGCACACAGGCTTCCAAAGAGCTAGGAGCAATACATTTGGAAAATGATTTCTCCCGTGTATTAAAGAGTTCTAGTTTTACGGAGACATTGCAGTTGCTTCCCCAAATTGTGAGCCTTTTGCTTCTTTGATCCTGAGGATTAGTCCTTAAAAGCTGTTCCAAAGAATAAGTTGTTCAGGCTTCTTTGAATTAATCATCCTAATGGCTTTTTTTCCCTTCGAATTTTTGTTTTTCTATTTGAACAATAATTGAGTGAAACCATCATTTGTCTACAGGTTCGTTATTGTTACCGTCTTGCCTCCATGGCTTTTTAAGTTCAAACCGACTTACCAAAGCAACACTTTTTGGTTACTTTGTCTTCCCCTTAAGACCATATTTATGATGGTAAAGGCTGCATTTTTTTCCCTGGTCATTATCAACAACAGCATGGGTCAGTGAACAGGTTTTCTTGACAGGCTTCAGTGATGGAGCCATTGTTCTGTCTTTTAATATTTGTTAACTATTGGTTGAGTGGTCAACGCAGAGTCCCAGTGTGTCCGTAACCCTGCCGTTCCTTTACCCATGTAAATAGGCCACGTTCACTGGAAAATTTGAGCAAGCAGTGCTTTGAATTCTCACCAATAAGACGGTAGATCACAGCCTCAAAAGTATGCAAGTGTCTTAAGAAACAGGAAGAAGGGTCTAATTACTTGTTAAGAGCAAATGTTTCTGTTTTTAAGTACACACCCGAGTCCCTGACCCCCAGAACAAAATAAGAGGGGAAAAAACCAAAACCTTTGATTTTATTTTCCAGAGATGATGAACATTTGTTAATCCAGCATTACTGCCAAAGTTTGAACCAGGACTCCCCCCTGAGCCAGCCTCGTAGTCCTGCCCAGATCTTGATTTCCTTAGAGAGTGAGGAAAGAGGGGAGCTAGAGAGAATCCTAGCAGATCTTGAGGAAGAAAACAGGTGAGTTTTCTTTCTAGCTTTGTCATTGGTATGCAGAGCGCATACACGTGCACACGTAGAAAAGCGCCAGGAGTCTTCACTTAGAGTCATTCTGTGTCTAATTGTTTTCTGCGATAATCTGTTGAGCTCCGTTTACAGGTGCTCTCTCTCTATGAATGCAATAGTATAATGAAGACGTCCTAATTGAGGGCTGAAAGGAATTAATGCTAATGGTGGTGTTTGATTTGTTGCATGTGTTTCAGAGGCTTTGATTTTATATTTGAGCCTAGAATTTAAGAGCAAAGCAAGTCATTTAATTTCACGATTATACGACGGGTACATGTATTTGGCCATATTATTTACGCCACAGCGTTCAAGAAAGTAGGCTCGTTGGCTTTGCCTCATTTGCGAACGAATTCACTCATCTTATTTTTCATCATCGGCCACAGAAATCACGTATGCTCACCACCAGAGCAGATTAGTGAGACAGTTCCGGTTGTCAGTATCATCTGCAAAAGGTGTTCCCAGAAGAAAGGAAACTGTGTAGAAATTAAAAGGCTAAAGAAAATTCACCCTGTCTGCAGGGAGGACAAAGATGTAAAACTCTGGGATTCTGTGTGGTGTCAGGATAATAGAAATCATTGGACTTTCACTTTGCTGTTAGATTTATTATCTCACAGATCTCTTGGTTGAGAAAGGCTTTTACATATGATCACTTCTAACTCCCTGTGCCTTCTTTAGACAAATGCCACCAGGCAAGTCTTTAAAGGAGCAATTGCTCAAATTTGTGGGACTCGAGTACTTTCATCTCTGTGATTTAGCCCCAGGCTCCAAAACCTGTGAATCTAGACAGCTTGGTGTGTCTGCGAACCGGTGCCCTCGGGGAGTATTGTCACCTCAAGATGAAAAAGCAAACTGCCGTTCATCCATTGCTTTCTGCTGCCACTGCCCACCTTCTAGCTCTTAAAACCCCCGACCTGTGGCCACGTTCCTTATCCGGTGGGCTTCCCGTCACTGCCTCTCTCACCCCTCCAATAATATATCCCCCATACGGACTTGCATTGTGTATCTTTCCAGGACCATCATGGCGTTCATTGTTTGTCGGATTTCTGCATCTAGGAACTAGAAAGACAAAAAGCCGGCTTTTCGGCTGGGCCTTTAAAACCTTCCAGAATTTTCTCTTCCTTTTACAACATTATCTTCCTTTCTACCTGTGTTCCGGCCACACTGCTCTAGCAACCGTTTCCGAGTACATCCTGCCCTCATCCACTTTCTGGGTCACGCGCAAGCTCCCTCCCATATCTGATGAAGGAGTCCTACCCATGTTCCGCGACTTTCCTCAAAATAATCTCCACGGAGCCCTGTTAGAGCCCTGCATTTGGAAGTAATAGATCTTTTGCCTGTATTCTCCGAATATTGTGAATCTTTCTCCGAGAACTCCCTGATGGTTTGCCTCTTTATCAGTGATGCCCCGTGTGGCGCCCTGCCCCCAACCCGAATAAGACGGGGAATGCCTTTGGGCCAAGGACTGGGTCTTAATCCTCTTAGTGGTCCCCTACAGTACCTAGCGTGGTTTGAAGACTCAGGGGGTAATCCTGGAATGTTCGGTAAAAACCCAACTTTAAGAATACAGCAAGGATGTCACACGAGTGCCATCCAGGAGGTAATACTGAACGTTTTGTTGGTTTTCATGGTAACCTTATTTTTGGTCTCCTTTGGCACTGAACTGGCACTGAAGAGTATCCTGATGAGTATCCCTCTGTGTTAAACCTGCAGTTATTTCAGGGGTCAAAGTCAAATTAGAAAAAGTTGGAATTGGCATTGTAAGTAGCATTTGATGCAACCCAGGAGTAAAAATAGTTTTGTACCATAAGATTATTGCCACTGCGCAATAGATCTGTCTGTGTCATCGGGCAAGAGTCTGGTCTTGTTTGTTGTTAGCAAGCACACTTTGCTTCCGTACCATGACAGCCAGGGTAAAGACTAGTGATAAATGTCATTTGCATATCGTTTCATCATTTCCGGAGTGCTTGACTGTATTTTGGGCCATTTAATCTTCCTTACAGCTGTGTAAAGAACTTAGATGGGAAGATGCGGGTTCACAGAGGTTCAAATGGATTGACCCAAATTTCACACTCAGCCAGTGGCAGAACCAACCTCAGGCCCAGATTTTCTGACTCAAAAATAGCCAAGTTCCCCTTGGACCAGCGAACAAAAAAGAGTCATTCTCTGTAAATAGAATTTGTATAGAATTGTCACATATTCCCTGGAATGGACCTTGACGTGAGACCGTATTATTTTTTTTTTTATTTAATGCTTATTTTTGAGAGAGAGAGAGACAGAGCATGAGAGTGGGAGGGGCAGAGAGAGAGAGGGAGACACAGAATCTGAAACAGGCTCCAAGCTCCGAGGTGTCAGCACCGAGCCCGACATGGGGCTCGAACTCATGAACCAGGAGATCGTGACGTGAGCCGAAGTCGGACACTTAACTGACTGAGCCACCCAGGTGCCCCTGGAATTTTTTTTTTTAAGTTCATTTTTTTATTTTTGAGAGAGCGAGCGAGAACGCACACGCGCGCGCACACACACACACACACACACACACACACACACACGCATGAGTGGGGAGGGGTACAGAGAGAGGGAGACGGAATGTGAGGCAGGCTCCAGGCTCTGAGCCATCAGCACAGAGACTAACGTGGGGCTCAGACCCTCGGACCACGAGTTCATGACCTGAGCTGAAGTTGGATGTCTGACCGAGCCATCCAGGCGCCTTGAGACAGTATTATTAAGGACTAGATAGACCTGAATAAACCAGTTCATGTACTTGTGGTACAGGGATCACTACTTTATCCTGAAAAATATCCAAGATCGTTCTACAAGAACGGGATGGTTTATTCCGTGAAACAAAGAAATTACACCAGGGCTCCTCACAGCCGCCAAATGAAGAATCTGATGTTGATGGAAGTCTTACTGTAAGTTCTCTTGACCTTCAGGTAAAGGTCATCAGGGTGAGTTTCTTTCTTTCTCTCTCCACTTTGTCCCATTTGCACGTCCTGCCACATTCCAAAGAAATGTCTCTGCAGAGTGCAAGGTACACTGTCTCCTGAAAGGACACTCTCTGGGCTATACGATCAGACAAATACAAGCGTACTTGGAGAGAAAGCGGGAATGGAAATTTAAAACTGAGATTGTCCCATGTCCTTTGGATGTATGTTTATTACCGTATCTATGTGTATTTTGCGTTCCTTTGTTCTAACCTTAGGACTAATCTCCAAATAAGTTAGCAAAGGAAAGGGGCTCGGAGATCACCATTTCCGATGAGATACGGTATGGAATTCTGTTGTTTTTCATGACATCTGCCCCCATTCCCCTTGGAAAGGAGAGAATGCCTAATTTAGAAGTGTCTCCAGGGTGTCTTCTCTCTGCCTTTAGGATTCCATTTCTCTCCGTTGCCACACATAGCATTCAATAAATATTTGTTGAATGAAAGAAATGAAGCGGAATTTATTTTAAGTGTGGCCCTCACACATGTACTTTTGACTAAAATTATTTTTAAAGCCGAATTTTGTAGAGGAATGCCTTTTAAAAGCTGTTCTTCTTGCTTTTCAGAGTCTTTCTTTTCCCAAGTTCCTTGATTAGCACCAACTGTTGCTTTCTCATTAATTGAGAATCTTAAACGTTCGTTTGCCAAATCCTAGGCCGTGTAAGTCTCTCCCATTCTCTTGATCGTTGGTTCATGCCACAAATATAGAGTGAGAGCCCTGGGCAGAAGCTAAATCTGACTCCGAATTTTCTTGATAGCATCTCCTAAAGTTGGATGACTAGCGGCTTTACACGGTCTTTAATGTTTCCCTTCTGCAAAATGTCTTGTGCTCATTCTGCAGATCGTGCAGACTGTCATTTGAGTGAGATCAGTCGGACATGAGAATTTTATCCATTGTGTGTCCTGAGCATTGCAGTCCCAGAGTTCGCTTTTTTACTGCAGAGACTCAAAAGTCTGCGGTCTCCTGACGGAAATGCACAGTGTCAAATTGCAGTGTGTTTTTCTCTGCACCGTCCAAATGAATTCAGACCTGCTCTGAAATTTTAGGTGTGACCCTAGCAATGAAAAGGTAGCCTTTATGAAAGACCCAAACTCATTGTCATCCTGCTGCCTGCATAGCAAAGTGATTAGATTGTCCCCAAGGCTAGAAGGAGAGTAAATACTAACTAACGTGATTCACTGTGAAGTCTGAAGTTAATTACAGTTGTCAGGAGATGTTATATGACAGCAGGGAGCCCTGTGGATTCCTAGTATCTACTCGGTGCCTTTCGTAGGTCTTGTTTTTGGGCAAACAAGACCGTGTGCAGTCTCAGTTTGAGTTTTCCTTGCCCCTTTTCACTGCTCCAGTGATAACGCCAGCTTACTAATGTTACATTCATGAGGATTCTAGACTGGCTACTTACAGCACAGAGTTGAACTGGTTGGAAATCACGATCCTGTTGCTTTACCTTGTAGATGAGGGGACGACTTGGGGCCCGGGGCTGGCCTAGTGTCCGCAGTCTACTCCACGTGACTTCACTAGGGCTTTGATGGTAAGAGTCCCCAGTGATGGTAGGCACACAGGCAAGACGACAGACAGGACGCTGAGGGGGATCAGGAGTGGCCTTGCCAGCAGAAGGAGGAGCAGAGGGGGTCAAGGTGAGGAAGAGCAGGGAATGTTCGGAAAACTGCAAACAGTGGTGTCACTTTTGTGATGAGGCAAGAAACGGGAGAAGATGAGGCCTCACGAGTGGGCAGGGCCAGGCCGGGAAGGGCATGATGCCACCTCCCCTAGGACTGGGAGCCACTCGGGCATAAGCCGGGCGTGGTGCTTTTAGATTTATGCGTACATCCATCACTCGGGCAGCTGTGTGGAGGGTGACCTTGAAAAGAACTCTACTGGAAACAGTAATTCAAACCGGGAGGTAGCATGGAAACCCACCAAAGAGCTCAGTGAAGCCTCAAGAAAGAGAAATGGGGCAGACAGGCTGAATTT